GAGTGAAATAATGCGAACGTGTAGATGATTACCCGATGAAACGGAGTGTTGCTGGTTTGGGCCCAGGAACAATCAATCACTGCGATGCCACAGCGAGCAGCAATATCCTTATCAGTTAAAGGATTAATGTACTGGGTCGCAGTAGATGTTAACACTACTCCATGGAAGGATTCTTGAAGTTTGAGTAAACGAGTAACGCCCAGTCTGACAAGTTTCCTTCCACTGCACCGTTTGGGATCGCATTGGCCGAAGTCCCACATGGCCGTCGGTATAGAAACACTTTTGCTGTCTTCTGAAGATGAGGAGTTTTCATCGTTGTCGGAATAATCACTGTGTGACTCCTTTGAAAGGGGCATGTCAGCGGGAAATGCACGTTGCTTGGTGCGACTTGTGCCTGAATAGCGGCCTTTCCGTTTATTAGAAGGTCTTGGAGGATGTGAATGATTTGCACGTGGCATTCGCGCTTGTCGTGAAATGTAACTTGAGTGACAACGGACTTCAAGCGCAGCTGGCACACACGTTCTTCAACCAAGCGAGCCGCTTCCGATAGGGGACTAATTAAAGTAAAGGATACAATAAATGAAATTTTATGCCTTGTACGCTCGTATATCTTCTCATTGTTGGGGAGTGACTGTATCACGGGGGTTCTTATTGTTAGAACTACCTGAGTGAACTGTTATCATATGCTAACTGGTTTTCTAAGTAAAATACATATTTTAGCTGTAACACGGAATATCATTTACAGCTGTATTCCCGAAAAAATTTTTAAAATTTTTTGGTATTATAAACTAAAAGAAGAGCAAATAATTTTGATACCATCGAAGTGCGTTATTTTTTAATGGAGCAATTACAATTTGTAGCTTTATTAAAACCATCTCGTAGTGATTAAACCTTCTTATGCTATACTGCACCTCTTTAATGGGCTGAGGCGTTCATCGGCTTGCCTGTCCTAATCTAGATGTTCATGCTTGTGAAGAGTGATGCTGCGTGTTTCCAGAACTTTGTTTTTCACTACCATACGTCATGCCCAATGCTATCAGGCCCGCTCTTTTTGTGCCTCATCGCTGCCCATTTTCGATCGCAAGTCCAAGAAGCTTCAACGTGCGAGGACCTCACTGAGAGCAAAACCGTCATTGTATGACTATTTGCGTGATGAAGCGGCTTTTCGAATTGCGGATCGCATTTGTGATATAACTAGGTAGTAAGTCTGTTGGATGCATTTTCTTGCTCTATTGTGTCCTTAAGAATATGTTGCTCATTCCAGGGTTTTTGACATAGCTGCTGAAGTCGGATGTGGTAGAGGTCATCTCATTCAAAATCTCACCAGTGATTCCGTCAAGTTTTTGTACCAATGTGACAATTGCGTTGAGATACTTGTGAGTACACAAGCGTTCTTTTCAAACGTTACGGAAACTTACACCGGCAATGCCTATTTCTATAGAAGCAAAATAATTCCTCCTCCGATGTTGAAACACTACGGTTAAATGTTGATGAAGAGCATCTTCCGTTTGCAGAGAACTCCCTTAACCTCATCCTTTCCTCTCTCTCGTAATATGGGCTTTGCTCTTCTAAACCGGATTCGATTTCTAGATTGCACTGGGTGAACAATTTACCTTCAACCCTATCTCAGGTACTCGGCGCACTTTTGACGATCCTTAGGTTTTACGAGCGCTTAAACCTGACGGGTGTTTTTTGGGAGTTACTTTCACCACGGACACACTCTTTGAGCTACGTGTTTCCCTTCAGCTGGCGGAAACTGAGCGCCTTGGTGGTTTTTATCCCCACATTAGCCCCTTTGTCGAGAGTGCACGATTCGGTGAACTTCTCCGAGAATGCGGATTCTCCCTCATTTCGTTGGTATTGTGCCGTCTTCGCACAAGCCTCCTTTATTCTTTCATAGGACGTCGATGATGTCGAAGTTCTCTACCCGTCAATGTTTGAGCTGATTGACGATTTACGAGGTATGGGTGAGTCCAACGCGGCCATCAGTCGGCCGCTTCGTCTGAACAGAGATGTCCTCTTTGCGGCCTCTTCCATTTACGACGGTTAGCTTTCGCATTTTTCTTCACCCATTTCCGCTGAATGCGTGTGAAATTAAACAAGGAAAAAAGGAAAATTTTTCTGCCTATCTCTCATTTTAGGTTGTTGTAGAGAGGCGATTATTAGTAGTAGCACTAGGTGACGACCTCCAAATAGGATGTTGTTTGTTCGTTTGCTGCTGCCAATTTGCACCTCGGTATTTCAAGACATTTCCGTTCTCACTAAACCGGCGTCCGTCTAGCAATCACCTTTTCCGGACTTTGTTTAAATATCTAAAAGTTGATTATTTTCAAGAATAAAAGCATCGGTTCAGATAGAAATTCTCTCACCATTAGGTGTAGCATTTTGCGTGCCGAGATGTTTGTATCGAGGGACTGAAAAGCAAACATCATTACATCATTATCATAGGGCTGAACAAATGTCGTGGATTTGAGGCAGGTATCTGCTCTCCTTTGCACTGAAATACCTGATAAATAGTATTTTTATGAAATTTTTCAGACCGATTTGGCACACAGAGAGGTGATGGAGAGGAGCGCTGTGTGCCGGCTACTTTTAGGTTCCTCTTCTTTATCGCTTGGAAGCCTGATCCCTCACAGGTTAGTCAGAAAAGAACATTTCCAGTTGCCCTATCCTCGTTTCCGTGTTCAATACTCTTGCTGCATCTCCTTTAGGCCAAGCCATTACCGCGAGGATCTGGTGAGTTTTCGCTTAGGGACATCGGCAGATTGGACGAACTGAGCGCTGAACTTGAAAAAAGGCATTCTAGGAAACCAGAGTAATCACTGCTTTTCCTGTACGTGTACATAACCATAGACGTCGAATAAACTTTTTCGTATTTAAATAATTAATTTTAGTATAATACAAAAGTGGCATTTAGATGTTTACACACTGACAGAGTGCTCATTGGCCCACTTCTTCATGATGCGAATAAAGTAGTCTGTTTGTGCGTTGTTCGTGTTGCGAAGAATCTGTAGGATTTCTCGTAGCGTCTCCTTGGGCTCTTGACCGTCGATTATGAGTTGGAAGACCCCTATGCAAGCGCCTCTCTTACCCTCCCAGTATTCTGGATTGAGGTCCAACCGCTCCAGTACGTCGAATGCTTTTGCCGCGTAGTAGAACTGGGCCATCCGGTAGCAATCGTTGGCGATGAGATGGAGCAGACTGAAGGACTCTGCAGAGGTCTCCATCTTAAGGTAAAGCTCCCACGCAGAACGCGGTTTCTTATTCATAATGTAGCACCTTGCCAGCCAACTGAGGTAGACGTAATCGTTTCGTATTTTCTCTGACTGAATGAGTAGAAACAACTCCTGTGCCTCCTTGTAAGCTCCAACAGCGGCCTTTGCTTGACCGTAGTTGAAGTTGAAGGTGTCGTCGTTGTAGAAGTAGGATTGGATGGAGTTAAGATAAATAATGGCGCTATCGAATTGGTGAAGGAGGAAGAAGCAAGAAGCCATACACTGGCGACCTGAAATTGTGTCGCACTCACTCGCAGACCCACCAACTAATTGGAAGTGCTGTTGAGCCAGTTTAAGATGCTCGCGGGAGGCAGTTTCCTGTCCGATCACGGCATTGACTATCGCTTTCAGCACGTACTCTTGCGGTGTGGTGGGATCCATATCACTCACCAATTCATACGCTGATTCAATGTCCTCATGTCGCAGGTGATGGATGATGAGATTCAATCTGGCTTCTGGCAGCACATCAATTAGGGGGGGCAGTACTTGCATTGCACCCTCGCCATTTCTGAAGACAACAAGATTGTGGTTAATCAAGTCTTTGGCATAAGATAGGCATGGAGAGGAAGACTCTTGGAGATTCTTTAACTCAGAAGCTGCTATTTTTCCGTTGTAGAGGCGGTAGTTGATGCATGCTCGTAGGTTGATAGCTGTGGGGCTATCAGGGTAGTGTTGTAAGTACAGGGCAAGCACTTCCTGTGCTACGTCGTAATAGTCAATTTTGTAGTAGCACAAACCGAGGTAGACGTTAAGAGCCAAGTAGTCACGGTTCTCCATCATAATTCTTTTATATATATCAATCGCTTCTTGGTGGTGATTACGAAGACAGTGGATGGAGGCGAGGGAGAGCTGATCCTCTAGGGTCTCACAAAGTCTATTATGGTGGGTAAGAAGGTCTCTTTCGTCGTTCATTTTGTGAGCGATGTGAAGAAGCAACCTATTTTGCAGGCGGCATTGCGAAGCTCGGTTAGCTTCTTCTTGCGCTTCTTTGTACATTCCCATGAAGAAGTAGCAACATGCCAAATAAGTTCGAATGGTTGGAGCAAGTTTGTTGTCAGAAAGGAGTCTTTTGTACTCTTCAGCAGCGTGCTTGTAGTCCCCAAGATGAAAATAACAGTACGCAATCCACAACTCGATATCCTTTTTCGGTTTGTCCGTGTGTCGTTCGAATTCAAGGAGCGTAATCGCACCGACAAAATCTCTGGCACTGAGGAATTCCTCTAGCTTAGGAACTTCTTTCCATCTTTGTAAATCATCAGAGACACATTTGTCGCTTGATCGACCAAGTGGCTTCTTTCTGGACAAGATCATGTTATAATGTTTGATATTGCATCAATTTTTGGGCGCCAGTAGTTACAAGCCCAATTGAATTATATAAACGACTTTTTGAGCTTATTGGTATCCCAAAATCAGCACAAATCGGACAACATCAGGATTTGAAAATCAACTACAAATTTCACAATTTAGCTGTGATAAGAGTCGGCTAAAATGATGTGTGAAGCTTATGATATACATTCCCATTAAACACATCTTTCAATATCTGCCGTAACTACTTATAATTGTTAATAGCCCCACAAGGATTAAGTAAATGCCCTTTCGCAACAGAGTTTGCGATCCTCATGCACTTCTGGTTTTTACTCATAAAAAGAGAAAAGTACGTAAAGGATGCTATTGTAGGACTAGGTTCGTATATCTCCACTTTTCTGTTCCTCATACTCTTAGAACACCTAGAGTGGTTTGATTTTGACATGTTTATTAGAGCAATTAAGTGGGGGAAGCCAGTGCCTAGTTTAGGGAGTGTGGGTGTAGCGTCCCGAGGCTCCCTGAAGACGAAGTACTCGGGCAGAATATATTGT